CCCAAATGCTTCCTCTGTGCCTAATACATGTGTTCTGCCTCAGTATTGTGTCTTTTTTGGTCTTCAGGGTAGTCGCGGGACGTTACATAATTACCTGCTACAAATCTAATGCATCCATAAGCACTCTGTTATGTTTGCCCATATGACCATGTTGCCATGTTGCTTATCACTGCAGTGCCCTTTGGTCACTCCTCTGTCACTGCTGTCACAATGAAGCAGGTATTTTAACAACCACTTGCAAGCCATGAATGGTGGTCTTTTTTCGAAGAGGAAGACATTTGACCCTCAAATCACCTTCATATCTCGTCAATTCGCCAATCTCTGGGACAATTAACACTCTTGAGCGCTGCTTTGCCGAGGGGCATCAGTAGATTAGATTTTATCAAGACAAAACACAATGATGAGCACTTCCCATCTGCCAACCACTGTTTATGACAGCAGCCACCTTATAATGGTCACTTAACTGGACAGCACTTAAAGTGCCTTCACAAAGCTCCTATTCTCTACCTATCCCCCTTACAAATTTATGCTTACCTCAGTGCTGCATCTAAGGACATGAAGAGGGCACAACGTTTTTCAATCTTCCATTTCTGCTGTCGCCTCACCTTTAAAGATCTTCCTGTAAAGCCACAAAGTGGTATGACTGTTGTGCATTCTTGCAGATCTAGGCAACTACACCGGACACCGCGCTGCCGTCAAGTTCAATTCTGGTGCACAGCTCTTATTATCTTCGGTTACATTTGCCATTGTCACCTGTGCAGCGCTCCACAAGTCCCCTCTGGAGTTGTCAAAGGCCGTGCACATGGCGGAAAAATCCTGCCGTCAGTACGGAAATGGGGATCAAAACGAATGAAAGAACTGCCTGGTACAATGCACAGTTGAAGTAAAACCGAGTCGCTACAAAGTACCGAATAAATCACCTAGCTCTCCTTCTTTTCTCGAACTTATGAATTCCAACATTTAAACAAGTCAATTTGCATCTTTGTTGTTCTAAACTTGCACCAACGGGAAACGCACAGTGTTTGTGTGAACACATTTCTGACATTTCTTATCTCCGACAAAAGTGCGTTCCTGTTTTGATGGGTTTGACGCTTGCTCTCCTTCAATTTGCCTTTTTGTCTTCTGAACATCCCTACTTCCAGCAGTCGCGTCACTTATCGTAAAGTGAAATTTAGTTTCTGATATGTTGAGTTCTGTAGTATTCTTCAGTTATTTCCAACAAGAATGCCCATATAGTCCATCAAATTT